CAGGGAGGCGACCAAGAAGGGGGCGGAGGTCATAAGGAACCTCATGCGGTTAATGCCGAATCTGGGAGGCCCGAGGGCTAGCAGGAAGAAAATCCTGTGTTCGGTTGCCATATCGGTGATGCGGTATGGAGCTGCATGTGTGGTCCGGGTATTTAGGGACCGAGAGAGTTAAGATCGCCCTGGAAAGGATCCGCAGGAAGGCAGCGTTGAGGGTGATATCAGCCTGTCGAACGATGTCAAGCGACGGGGTGGCAGTCCTGACAGGGGTGCCACCCATGCATCTCATTGCGGGAGAGAGCGGAGGTCCATGCGAGTGTCAGGGAGAGGGAAGGAAAGGATGAGGTAAAGGCGGAGGTGAGGGAGAAACTCCTGGAGAAGTGGCAAAGTGAGTAGTACGTATTCACAAAGGGACGTTGGACGCATAGGCTGATCCCAGAGATCAGGCTGTGGCTCGATAGACCACAAGGAGGTCTTATTCCGGGTCACTCAGGTTTTGACTGGACACGGCAGTTTCGCTAAATATCCGCAGAAGATAGGCACAAGGAAGGACGGAATTTGAGGATAGTGATCCACAGTGGTGGCCGGGGAGTGGATGACGCTGGAAGAGTGTGAGGCGTGGGAGGAGTGGAGGACTGTGTTATAACGGGACTTGGAGACCAGAATTACGGTACCGCTGACACTGAGCGACGATAGCAACTGGACAAACGTGCACAGCTGGATCCAGGTCGTGATGGCGTAGAGAGATGGAAAGCGCAAGGGCGAGACAACAGTGGCAGCTTTTGCAGTCACTGTAAGCTCATCAGTGAGCTCTTCCTCCCTCGAGCCGGTCGGCGGATTTCCCGCCGATGACGAAGGGTTCTGACTGGCTGGTCTTGGACGATGATCCTGGCTGACCTGGGGCTCGATCAGAGTCGTGGCCCCAGGTGTCCCTCCGCCGAGGAGTTGCCCTGGGTGGACTCGGTAGTCCAAGAGGCGCCACGTGATCCGTATGATTGTGGATCTTTTTTGGCCCGTCCGCCGCACTAATATATGGCCACGGACGGGCTCCTCGGGGACACAAAGACGCCTGTCTCGATGGTGTCGGCATTGTCCGGGTGGTTGTAGATGGGCCCCTGCCCGCCGGTCCGGCTACTGGCCGGGAAGTCGCAGCCTTCCTCGCGGACGGGCCTCCTCACGCCGCCAGGGCGAACTGAGACCCTGCCCCCGCGGGTACAGATGGCCCGGGGGGGGGGGGGTTCAATGTTTAATTTCATGCCATACGTGGATATCACGAGTTTGACTCGTGATCGACATTTCGGGCCAAACGTGAATATTACGAGTCTGATTCGTTATCGACATTTCACGTCAAACATGAATATCTCGAGTCTTACTCGTGGTCCAAGTATGAAAATCTCGAATGGGATCAGGTGCCCCCATGCAAGCGTGCACGTGCTACCTAGGAGATAGTGGTGCTTTTCGTGGTACAGATAACATCTCCAAGGTAAATAAACGTAGGCACTTAGCGAGACCAAGAAAACTTCAGTCGTTCTTCAGTTTGTACCATTCCGTTATACGAGGTGCACACGTTTCAAACAATCTGCTCTACAGAACGTGATATTCTTGACCATTTTTAATTTTGTCAAGCCCACCAGCAGGTATAAAAAAAAAGCAAAATGACTAAAAAAGCAAGTTCACGTGGGAGTTTGAGTAGTGGAAAGACTTCCAATGTTTCAAGCTGTCAATCGATAGATAGTGAAAGTTATAAACAGTGATGAAAATTCTAATAACAGCAGCGTCACTGTGCCAGTGATAAATCCCGCATAAAGATCAATTACATATGACAGTGATAAGGAGGAAAATATCAGACCTGAATTGAGTGGTGAATGGAATTGGAAGGAAATTGATAACAGACCAACAATTTGGGAATATTCCGAGTCTCGTGGTGTAAAAGACTATGTTTTAAACCAGTTAGGCACTAATGACGGATTATTAGATTTATTTTCTGTTGTTTACGACGAAAATTTGTGGGACATTGTTGTTACGCAAATAAATCTTTAGGAGGAACAAGTAGTGAACAATGGAAGAAGAAGGAGACTGGATGATGGTTGGTTTCCAGTTACTAAAGATGAAATGATGCCCTATTATGCGCTGTGTATTTTGATAATGCAAATCAAAAATCCAAATATACAAATGCATTGGTCTAAGCGGCAAGTGATAGAAGCACCTATATTTGGTAAAGTAATGTTGCTCAAAAGATTTACCCAGATATCACGATGTTTGCATTTCTCGAATAATGTAACGGATTGCAATACCGACCGCCTTTACAAGATAAGACCAATCATTAATTGCTGGAACGACAAATTTAATAAGATTTACACACCGGATAAAAACATAAGTATTGATGAGTCATTAATGCGATATAAAGACCGCCTAATGTATAAACAATTTAACCCATACAAACGAGCCAGGTTTAGATTAAAAATATATAAACTATGTGAAGCAAATACTGGATTCTGTAGCAAGTTTAAAATATATACTGGTCAAGAGAAAATAATCCTAAATAATAGTGCATCAGAAAATGTGATGGAATTGGCAGAATCGGTACTAAATAAAGGATACACATTGTACATTGACAAATGGGATTCCTCACCCGCTCTCATTTTAAGATTGCACAAACAAAAAACAAATGTTGTCGGCATCGTGCGTTATAACAGGAAAAATATGCCGAAGGATCTTTCAACAAACAAGTTAAAACCAGAACATCTACACAGAACATGCAATTGTTAGCTTTTTGATTAACATGGTTGTTAGCTTTAAGATGGAAGGACAAACGTGCTGTCTATATGTTGATATCGAAACACGCATATGTGGAATTGACCGAAGTGAGGGACGAACGAGATAGGACGACATTGAAACCCAACTGCGTGATTAAGTACAACAGAAGAACGGGAGAAATTAACCTCAATGACCAAATGTTGGCATGTTTCCTCATTATAAGGAAATACCTCAAAGGTTATAAAAAACTTTTTTTTACATGTCTGACATGGCCCTCGACTAACAATATATAAAACTTTCTAAAACAGAATCCTTTAGGCCCAGCTCCACAGCTTGAGTTAACGGAAGTGTAACTGGTTAACACACGGTTTAAACCAGCTGTAAACCACTTTAACTTCGATTAACTCAAGTTGTGGACCTGGGTCTAAAGGATTCTATTGAAGATGTTTATAAATGCACATCCTCATCTGCGCCCTTTAGTCGATAATATCATACGATATGAGGTAATACTAAAGCACTATTTTCGTCTGTATGTATATCACGAAACCAACCTCACGTGATTTTGGAGGGATTCAGTCCCTAAATCGAAAATCTTCGAAACATATCCCCCCTAAATCGACTCCGAGGATCTCATACAAATTATCAGAACAAAAAAATTCCGGTCGTATGATCGAGTTCCGGCGATTGGTTGATTAAAATTGTAACGATAGGACTCGGGGTGCGCGGGTTAGGTGGCGTCCTCGTGCGCCGCGGTCCACGTTCGGGTCTCTTCCCGCGACAGTGGTCCGCTCGGCGCGTGTGAGTATCCCCGAGGAGTAATGTCTGGGTGGAGTAAAGTATTCTTCACTCGATAACAATAACAGAGTTTATTGGCCTGTGATTGTCCGTTGCCGGTCGCCGTCACTCGGTTGCGGTCTGAAAGCGAAATTGTTGGAAGCAGACCGGATACAAGCGGTATCGTACTTAATTCTAATTGATAAAAACTCTACTTGGTTAATGAAAAAGTGTAAGCGGCGGTTAACTATTACTGGTTTTACAATGACTTATTCGTTAATGGCGGTGATGACTCTAACCCTACTGCTCGAACTCCCGGGTCGCAGAGGCGACACGATGGTACAGGTTCGGTTCGTGTCGTCTCTTGTCGGAATTATATTCGGAGATGCGAATTCGCGCCTATAGTGATTCGAAGTCTCGTCTTGCGAATCGAGTTTGAGAGTCTATGTGTAGACAGGTTTCTTCCCTTCCTACGACTCTGCCTTGCTCTATTTTCCCGGGTCTCTTATAGTGCCCGGGAGGCTCGCGCACCTGCGAGGCCGTGGGTCGCCACGTAGCGGCCGCGGCGGGTACTAGTTGGCCGGCGTCGCGCTTGCGGGAACCTGGCGGCGGGCTGCGGCGCCGGGCTGCGGTGCCCGGCCGTAGTGCTGTGCGAGTGGTGTGGCTCGGCCTCGGGCGCCCTTGGTCCGAGGCACACAGCTCGCTACAAAATGAACAGGTGACGAATAATGCTTCCAAGATCGCGGTCAGTGACCGCGCTGACCCACTACTACCACGTATATTAGGCAACAGCGATCCTTCGACGAGGTACTGACGCCGTCCCATTTTAAATACTCTTCTCAATTATACGTTTTTTCGCGTTTTGTTCTCCTTCCGACGTTTGTACACGACCAGCAAAATTGGTAATAATGTGAATAAATTAAAGTTACATTGTTTTCGACAGAAAAGTCGGCGCTGGCGCCGGTTATGCCGGTACGTGTGCAAACGGCCTAACTGCTCTAACGAAGGCTATTTATGAAAGACACAATAAAGACGGTTTCATTTTAACTGACTAATATATTGTCTGTATATTAACAGTTTAAAATATTAACTGACAAATGAAAGCGCAACGTAAAAGGCTGAAAAACAATGTTAGAATTTTGTTAGATAATACGCACTGTTTTAACCATATTAGTCCGCTCAATGTCAGTAATATGAAATTGTGAGTACGGATCCGCCAAGTAATACTCAGAACAATAAGGAATCCCCTTAACGTTTTACATACTGATAAATGACAATTAAATAAACTTAAATGTAAAATGCTGTAATGACAAAATTAATGAAGGTGTTGCGTCAGCACTCTTTACGAAATGGTTACAAACCGGTAACCCGAAAGGTAGCTGTTACGTAGGCACTCTTTACGAAATAATCGCAACCCGATAACCCGAAAGGTAGCCGTGGAATTCCAGAAATTAGCACGCAATAGGACATACGGTTGCGAAAAGAAGTCTTGAGTCCGCCTGACGAAGATCGACGCTACTGACGCAAGTCGACCAGGTCGCGATCAACCGGCCCGAAGCGCATCCTGATGACTGCAGTACATCGAACACCCCTGCAATCCCTGAAATGGAAATGGGATTTTACGTTTCCGATACCTATTTCGAATGAAATTAATTCATAAGAGTTGCTCCGATTTGCGTTTATAAAAAACTCGGATAAGAAAAGTCTTTCTTATGTTTACGGGTGCTCATTTACATACCCATTTCAGGTGAAGTGAAACACGTCGAGGAACTTCATCAACGTCGATAAAGAAGATTTTTCTAAATGCCTACGTTGCCGACGTTCGTTTTTATAATGACAGCTGGGTCGAATTATATTGTGTATTGTGCCAAATGGCATATTCCACCTGTCGCTTTCGTACAACAATTATAAAGAAATCGAAGTAAAAGTCCAGAAATCCTCTGGGTTCATGCCTTCCGGGGCCCCAATTGACTGGGGAGGGACCCCCTGCGCCATCTGTGATTTCCAGGTCAATTAAATTTTCTCTCCGAGACCTCGTATTACCATCGTTTTAGCAAAGAAGCGCATACAACACTTGTTTTGCCTTTATCCCATTCAAATGCGAGTTTATCGATTACCAGATCATCATATTATCCAGATTATCATATCAGAGCCTTTGATAATTGTATATTGATCGAAATATGAGAGCTCGACCCCATTTTGGTTCTGGTCTGGATTGAGTTGAACAATTTTTTTTTTAAATCCTAATTTTTAATGTGTCAGGACAATTCTCAGATGATCAGGAGTGATGTGTCAAAGTTTCGGACAGTTTGGTCTAATATCCTTAAAAAAGAAGTGTTGTATTCGAATTGACTGATTTGAAGGATGTTTCACATCACCTTAATGATTTACAGGTGTCCATTTATTTGAGGAATACGAAGAATGGTGTAGAACGTAAATATATAAGACATGAAATCACGATTTCATTTCTATGTCCGATAGTTGATGCATCGTAAAATTTCCTACGGTATTTCACTGTATATACATTTAGAAACTATTTCTTCTAAGCTAAGATAATATTCTAACTTCGATTCAGTGGATGGAACAATTGAATCGCTAAGAAACTTGTTAACATTTAATAGAACATGTTCTATTATATTCTTTATAAAATTCTGTAAATTATCATTTAACAAAAACTACGATAAGTGGATTCGTGACTCTTCACAATAAAATTTTAACATTTTTGTTTAATTGTTTTTGTTTATACACGTTTACACTCCTTAGGAAATCCATTCTGCCCCTTGGTCGATTCAAATTCCGCGCTGCTCCCTCCGCTAGTACGCCACGCGACCGGAGAGGGCAGTAAGTCCGCGAGGAAACCGTCGATGAATGCCAGTGTACTACTATTGGTATATGACTCTTGGGTGGAATACGACATCCGAAGGTCCAGCAACCTCTTTAGAAAACCCCTTAGTTGTCCTCGAACAGTCGCACAATAATTCATTTTAGTCTGTATTTTTACACTTTTATAGAAATTAGAAGTACCCACCAAAAACACCTTTGGTGTAAAAAAAAAGACAAGTTCATTGCCTGATGTCATTTCACCTTCTGGAATCACTACGAACATTCCTACAAAGAA